GACTTTCGCTCAGGTCATGATCTCGCGGTTCGTGGGTTCGAGCCCCGCGTGGGGCTCTGTGCTGACTGCCAGCTCAGAGCCTGGAGCCTGTTTCAGAGTCTGTGTTTCCCTCTCTCTCTGACCGTCCCCCGCTCACGCTGTCTCTCTCTCTCTCTCTCTCTCTCCTAGAAATAAATAAAATTTAAAAAAATATTTAAAAAAGTGTTCTCTATTTTTCTGAATCCAGATTAAAATACATACATACTTACTCAAATTAAAAAAAAATGCCTGTGAGCATGCTACCTAAAGAGGTTCACATGATGCCGATGGAGCACAAGTTTAAGAAGCTGATAAACATTGGAAAGGATGCACGTTACTCCACTCTTCAGGTTTCTATTCCAATCTCGATGACAAAGGTGGTGTTGGAGGAATATTTTGGGCCCCTTTCTCTACTTTCTCTCTCACACCATCCTAAGCAACATAGAAAAGATCTAAGACTTATAGAAGCATAAGTAAAGTGTTTTCTCATTCTGTCCTTGGCATTCAGCACATGGGGCTTCTTACTACCATGTTGGAGTTGGCTGGAGTGAGGAAGACTGCAGCTGTCTGGCCATTCCAAGGCTCATTTATGGAGGTGTAGTAGCAAACCCTATTTCTACTCTCAGTCAGCCTCATTCTAACCTTTACTAGGGAGCCCCATAAATTGGATGACAACATACATCTCAACTGCATTTCCTCTTTCTATTTCTCAAATTGGCTATAACCCATAAAGTAGAAGCCCAAATTCCAAAACAGCATTTAAAATTCCAAAGCAGCATTTAGTTACAAACACAAGTTGAAAGAGAGAAGAAAATGTTGATGGAAGAAAATGAATGCTGCTATCATACAGCAAACTTTGTGTTTATAAACAGAATGAGCTCTTATTATGAAAAAAGTGTTTTTTAAAAAGTTAATGCAACTTGATACTCAAATACTGTGACTGGAAGTTCCCCAATGTGGGAGTAGTGTCAGGTAGTATTCTAGTCTTTTCAGTCTTTTCAGTATTCTCAGTCTTTTCAGCTGAGTCTGTGCACACTGGAGCAGGGGCACTCCCCTTGTTCCCTAGTTTCTGAGAACCAGTGAGATACAAGAAAGAATATTGGCTTTGGAGTTGGACCTGGGGATAGATTATGGATATTTGTAGTTGGGCCAAGTTACCTAGCCTTCCTCAATCTCAGTTTTTACATGTGTAAAATGGGAACAATAACCCTCCTAGCGTTGTTGTGGGATTAAGATAATGCATGTAATGTACTAATTTGATGCTTTGCCCACATATTGAGCTAAAGAAACTCTATGAAGGATTCTTTCTCCCTGGGCAGTGTTTCCTCAGTGATTATCCTCTGAGACTCAGTGGGCATCAGCAGAGTTATAAAACTTGCATTTTGAATCCAGTGCTTCTTCTCTCTCCACCCTGTCCCTTCATGGCCCTGAACTAAGGTATCGAGGACTGATCCTTATTCCCAGAGGTCTCCTCATTTGTGGACTCAGCCTTCATCATTTTCCTTGCCTTCTCACTCTCCCCATGCCCCATCACTAGTTTCTAAGATCATAGGCTGTGGCCTAAGTATCCCACATCTCCACCAACCCCCAACCTCCATTCACTTAGAAGGAACCAGGTTGAACAGGTAGAACTCACCTAATCAGTGCTTGGCACTCGGTAGATGATCGTTACCCACAAATTTCCTTTCCCAGGCCTGGAAGCTATGACCCCGTTTTTGCAGTTGTATTACCCATTACGATTAACTACACATGGGGCACCTGGGGGCTCAGTTGGTTAAGCATCTGACTCTTGATTTTGGCTTAGGTCATGATCTCATGGCTTCGTGGATTTGACCCCTACGTTGGGCTCTGTGCTGGCAGCATGGAGCCTGCTTGGGATTCTCTCTTTCTCTCTTTCTCCCTTTCTCTCTGTGCCTCCCTGACTCATGCTGTCTCTGTCTCTCTCAAAATAAATAAATAAGCTTAAAAATAAGAATTTATGATTAAGTACAGAGTGATCTAAGAACTGTATTTTTGACATTAAATATTTTGGACATCACAGACTCGATCTTTAAAACCACTAACTCCTAGACTTGGTCAGTGAGACAGCCATCCATAAAGAAATTCCTATCCATACCTAGGTATCCACTGGGTATGTCCATATCTAGATAGTTTTTAAAGGGTTTGAGATCTTTCCCTTGCATGGAAGTAGAGCACGAGTGGTCGTGCTTATATTCCGAGGCCTTTTTTAGCACAGATAAAATGCCAAAAGAATAAAGATTTTGATCTGATATAAGTTCCTTTGTGCAAACAAGCTTGCATAGCAAAGTGGTGTAGATAAACGCAGATGAAAATGGACTTTATACAAACAAATGAAATTATATTATGTTTCTCTAGTATAAAAATAGATCAAATGGTAAGAGCAAAAATAGGTGAAATGGTAACATAAACTGAGTTGTGTAATCAGAGGGTCAACTCCTGACATTTTCCTCTCTAGGCCTTTTCTAATAGTTTTGTTGCTAAGGCTACAATGTTTTTGCCAGATTGGAACAGGATTGTCAACTCTAATGAAGATTAAGTAGCTTTCGCAACTAGATTTTTTTTTAATAAGCATCAGTTAATACTGCTAGCTTTAAAAGCCATATTCATGAAGAATGGAAAGATATTTAAAGATCTGTTCTTAGAACGTATAACTAATAAAGTTTGAACTTTAGTCGCTTTCTATTCCAGTTATGCCAACACAAATTTTTATCACAGTTACATTGGACAAAATAACTTACAATTTCATATATTTAACAAAAAAGTAAGAAATTATTATTTACAACTTTAGCCAAATTAATTGCCTAAAAAGCAACTGAGGTCACCTAATAATTCTTTTGCTTGGTTGGAAAACTGTTTCACAACTGCTCGCAAATTCACACTTCATTTATTCTTTGGACAAGGTAGATAAGTTAGAGGACTAAGTACTCCATCTCTTGGTTCCTACCATTCATTGGTCAGTCTTCTGAGGAAAGCATAAATACAAACATACCCAATGAGACATGGCGTTTTGTAAATGAAAACCAATTTGTTCTGGACACTGAATGGCTAAAAGGATGTAAAAGGTTGAGAGCTGAGGCACCTCGGTGGCTCAGGTGGTTAAACGTCATAGGGATCCTTGACTTCAGCTCAGGTCCATGACCTCAGTTCATAGGCTCAAGCCCCCTATCATTCTCTGCGCTGACAACATGGACCCTGCTTAGGATTCTGTCTCCTCTCTCTGTCTCATTTCTCTCTGCTCCTCTGTCAGTCGTGCTCTCAAAAATAAACTTAAAAAATAAATAAATAAAAGATAAGAGCCATTGGGAAAAGGGTGAAGGAACTCCTTTTAATGTGCTGTGCTTGCTGAGTCACCTGAGCCTCCTTGGTCATGGACACAAAAGACCATCTAAACTTTTAAAAATATAGTGGCAGTTTGCTTGCCTGTTGAACCCGCAATTCTACTTGTGCACTAAAGCATGAAAATGAAGAATTCATGTAAAGTGCCTAGCAAATAACAGATGCTGTGCTTTCTTCCTCTGATGTCTTTATATTTTTGTAGCCAGAAATCCCAATGTTAATTTCCTAAGAAAAGCTGAATATTCTAGTCAAAAGAAATTCACCTTAATTTGAATATTGCAGCATTAGTGACACCTGGTGGAAAATGGGAGTTACAATGTAGGATTATTATATCTATTCTGATCTTTGCTGTATAATGATATCACTTTCATCAGGTTTTCACACACCCTTCTCAACTCCTTGGGAGTAGAGTTCCCTGCCCTATTGAAGTTGGGCTTAGCCAAAAGACTTGCCTGCATCATTGGAATGTGGGAAAAAATGTCAGTGTGGAAGTTCTGAAGCTAACCTTGAAGAATCCCTGCTAGCCACTGCTCCTTCACTAGTAGAATGAGACATGTGACCTGCCGATTTGCATGAGGCTAAGACAAGCACCTCAGATGACCACAGTCACAGTGGAAAAAATGCTTATCATTATTCTATGGTTGTTTGCTAAGGAGCAAAAGTCAACTAATACCTGAGATTGTTATTCCTCTATTGTAAAAATCATGGAGGCTTGATTTCCCTGTCCGACGGGGGACACTGGAAGGAGGATCCTGAAGACCATGTGTGGTTCAGTCCCTTCTGGGGCTCTATTTCAGGCCCTGATAGGCTCAGTGGAGCATGTTGTTTTTTTATTCCTCTGCTTATGGTAAGCAAAACTGAATCAGAGGCCAGGCCAGGCCCATCAGGCTCACCCAGGGACCCCTCCTTCCTTTTTAAAGCTGAATTTTATTTCATTGTATATATAACATCACATTTGGTTTATCCATTCATCTGATGGACATTTGGGTTGCTTCTGCTTCTTGGTTAGTGTGAATAATGCTGTTAAGAACACGGGTGTCCAGGATTTTGTTTCATTCATCCTGGCTACTTGGCACATTAATAGGTCCTCACCATAATTTTTGAATGAATGGATACAGGCTATGTGTATTTACTTAATAGTGAAAGTTAATATGTATAGAGTTAGACTAAACACTTAATCAATTATTATAAAATGAGATAAGATGTAGAAGAGATTAGAAAAGACTTTTTAAAGTTTGCCTTAAACAGACCTTGGAAAAATGAGGAAAACAAGGCTGGCAATAATGCTAAGGGTATAGAAAAGTTCTCTAATCCAACATATGCTAAAATAAATTAATTCCAAATGAAATGTACTGTTTTACACAAAGAATGATGATTATTTTAAGTCTACTGTTATAAGATTAAAGGGGTATAATCAAAGCTTGTCCATTAAATTGAAAGTACCTCCAGGCTTAATCAATTTTGTATCCTTAGGCCTGACAACCTGGGAGACACAAGAAATAATCTGCTGTACTGAATCCATCCTATTATGTACCTATGTTAACATCACACCATCATAAAAATAAAAACATTTTAACACAGATTTAAAACATACACATTTAACTTTATTTCATCATCATTTAAAGCTTGATTTTATAAAACATAAAAAAAAAATTTAAGAGTTCTGTATCATAGGAATTTAAAGTAGAAATATTCATACATTTGTAGGCTCAGATTATATAAATTAAAATCAAATAATTGGAAATGTTTTCAATATAGATACTATACAAATGAAATAAATGGCAAAAGGATCTAATAGGAGTGATACTTCATTACTTATGGATTCTCACTAGATAACTTCAGGATCTAAACAAAGACTTAGAATATTCAGACTTCTTTTGCTGTATTTTATATTTAAACATCTTCCGACCTATATTCTGAGTCAAGGTACTTGACCAACAAAGGTCTGATTTAAGAAGGCATTTAGCTGTATAACAAGTCTGCCATCTACGGTTACCACCGTCGAAGGAACTGACATAACGATGCTGATGTATCTGCTAGTTTCCTTTTGAATAGTGTGCAATAATGCAAGTCAACCATGTATAAAGTCATACAGGCACCAAAAAATGAAACAATTATGCACAGTTCAATAGAAGTATGTTAAGTTTTCCCCATCTAAAAATTAACCAATGAAACAAAATGTATCAACTATAGTTCACTGGGTTCCAGGAAAACCACATCTGAGAATGACAAGTACATCATAGTCGTTATCTCATCCTCAGTCATTGACAGGAATTTTGTAGGCCACTGTGCTATTTACTTTGTGGATCGTAGTAGTAAATGAACGAAGACGGACTTCCTCAGAATTGGTAATGAACTGTGGTCCCGACTCTTCCCATTTTTCGGGTACGACCAAATCTTTGTCTGTGTAAATCAGTAGATCAAATGAACCTAAATTGGGGACAAGATCATTAAAGAATCATTATTCTTTCAAAAGTAAAACTACAATCCCTGTCCCTCTCACAGTTGGACCACTTATAGTGTCCGAAAAGCTAGTTTAGCCATCTCTAATCAGTTAATGGTTAGCTAATTGCTTTTCCTTAATGGAAACTTTAGCACAAAAATACTGTACTCCTTTTACTTTTCTTATGAAAAAAATTGAGTTTTTTTTTTCTCTAAAGAGAACACCATTAAAAATATTTGCATATAGAATTAATCACGAGGTAGTATGAAGGTACGCCATAGAAAACAGAACATCTTGGTTTTGTGACTGCTGTTTCCCAGAGCCCAGAACAGTGTCTGGCAGATAGCAGGATCTATCTGATGAACAAAGGAGTAACTAAGTAAGAAAAAAAAAAAGACACCTTTATAGCTAAAAGTCTTAATTACATACATAGAAATGTGAATATAAAAATAATTAAATTACATCAAAATATTTTAGACTGAGTACTATAGACTACTTTCATTCCTTTCCTTTTCAGCACTTCTAAATAAAATGCATATAATATTGCTTTTGCTTTATAACATTTTTTTCATTTGTATTATGTGACACTGATAATTAAGAAAAAATTTAATAAAAGGATGTGAAGTTTGTATAAAACTTACAAGAAACTTCCAACAGTGGCAGAAATGTCACTGTAGCTGTGATCTGTCTGATCACTGAACGGATTTCATCTTGGATAGCTTTCTGAGACTTTTCTCTGGGTGCACTATCAAAGAAACCAAATCAATTAATTTAAGGTTTAACAAGTTATCTAAAACATTGGTAAGATTATTTACCTGATTAAACATTCCCAAGATCAAATAAGTAATGCATTTAAAAGGAGTTTTTGTTTTTAGTGTTTAAATATATGTACATAAAGACCTGTACTTAGAATCTCTAACCTAGTAGGCACAGTATTATCTCTATTTATCCTTCTAATCATATCTATGGCTGATCTTAGTATCCGGTCATTCAGTAACAGATAATTAGAAAACTTGTCAAGTGATTCGTTAGGAAAACTTCAGTACCTCCTAAAATAAAGATAACAAGTAGTACCTAAAATATTTAATCAGTATAATTATTTTGGTACTTTTAGTATTGCCTAAATGTCTAATTCTCTATTGCTTCAAAAAAGATGTTAAATTGTGTATCAAATTATTTGTATAAGTTAAAACTTTCCTAAAATAGACCAAAGTTTCAGAAGCGATCTATATTTCATTATGAAAAACAGTTCTCAGTTTATAGGTAAACATGATTAAGATAATGCTAGAAATTAGCATATAATGATGGGTATTTCCCATTCAGGGTATCTGGAAACTTCAGTTTATGAATTGTCATAAGAAGTTTGTGGCATTAAATGAAATATAGTAGAGCTGCATCTTTTATTTTTTTTACTGTTTATTTATTTATTTTGAGAGAGCACGTGAGCGGGGCAGGGGCAGAGAGAGTGGGAAAGAGAGAATTGCAAGCAGGCTCCACACGGTCACCAAAGAACCGGTTGTGGGACTCAATCTCACAACCCATGAGATAATGCCCTGAGCTGAAGTCAAGAGTCAGACGCTTAACTGACTGAGTCACTCAGGCGCCCCAGTAGAGTTGCATCTTAAGCTGGGAGAAAACTCTAGGATAATACTTCCTGCTTTTAAAAGTACCTTTAAACAATTCATTAAATGGACTACCTGGTATATCAGATGTAGCTTCACATCCTGCACCATAAACACTAAAGTTTGGAATGCATGGATTTAGACTAAAGGCAATTATGTTAAAAGTACACTATCTGTTCAAGTCCATGATATGCACAATTTTTTTGTGAGCAGTTTATGAGCACTATTCTTTTCCACAAGGGATTAAAGATCAAATCAAGCATACTTAGAAACAAATTACCTTCTATGAAACTAGTTCAATATAATAAGAACTCCTTTAGAAAGGAAAACAAGTTTTGCAAAAAATATATAAAAGTGGAAGTAATTTAATTCACACTTACCTGTCATCTTTTGCAGTCTTGTCACACTCAATATCAAACTGCCACCTTTCAAGGACCTCGCCACTCTCAATATTTGAGATGACTACCACCAGTTTCTGAACTGAACACTTGTATAACCAATCTGGAATACATAACAAGGTATGTTTTTGGTCCACTGCATTACAAAGCAATTCTCTTCTCAGGTCTCACTTCCTATCATCTGCAAATTCCTACCACTGGTATTTTGGAATTCCTCCAACCTGTACAAGAAACTTGCCCCACAATATCCTAGCTCCTGTTTTTGAATTCTCCATATTTGTACCAGATACAGTACTGAGTGCTGAGAACAGAGTAGTGAGTATGCAGTACTTCCATCTTAATACAAGGTAAAATGTAAGAGATGGGGATGAATCTAATCATTACATCAATAAATGTAAGATTATAATTGTGATGAATGCTATGAAGGTGTGGCATTTGATGCAGTGAGTGGATGATACAGGAAATTTTGATTCATTCAGGGAGTTCTCACTTGAGTTTAGTTCTAAAATAAATACAATTAAATATGCAAAAGGATACAGAAAAGGGTATAGGTCTTAAATACTAAAAAGGGAAAAGCACCTGACTAGAGGACTGAAAAGAAGCCAATACAATTGCAGTTAAGAAAGGGAGAATGATGAAGGCAAGTCTGGCACAATACACATAGGGGTCAAACCATTCAAGGCCACGTGGGCCAAATTAAAGCAGCTATACCTCAAGAATGAGGGAAGTCATTACAGTGTCGGAAGCAAGGTGTGATGTAATTAAATTTGTATTTCAAAACTATCCTTCTGGCTATGAGGTGGAAAGTAGACTGGAGGTAAAAGGGGATCTAAGGACACTAATTAATGAGTAATTCAAGTAAGAAGTAATGAAGGCTTATAGAAGAATAAACTGGTAGAGATGGATTAGTAGATAGATTCAAGAGATTTCATCGTTAAAATTGTTAAGATTTACCGGAATACTTGAGAGTAAGGAATTAAAAGTGTTAAGATTTACTGGAATACTTGAGGAAAGACTCAGGGATAGCTCCTAAGTTTCTAGTTTATATCACTAGTTGGATTTTCGATCCATTCACTGAGATAACCCCAAGATCAAGTGTCCCACGCTCCACTGACTGAGCCAGCCAAGAGCCCCTTTAGTTTTTCATATGCTGAGTTTGAAATATCACTGGGATAGTCACATGAAGATATCAAGGGACCCATTTAATATGTGAGCACAGAGTTAGGAAAGTTGGGCTAGATGTACATTTGTGAGTCAACTACACAAAGATTAACTTAAGGATTTGGTGGTTGGAATTATTTTTTCTTTTAAAACTGAAGACTGACAAAACCAATGAAAATAAAAGAAAAGGGGCTCAAACTCACAAGCCATGAGATCATGACCTGAGCAGAAGTCAGACACTTAACCGACTGAGCCACCCAGGCTCCCCACAATTAATGCAATTTTAAAAAGAAAGCTAATTAAAAATATATATATGGCTCATGAATTAAAAAGAAAAAAATAGATGACTAGAGTTTTTTTGGAAGAGCAAAAGGATAGGGAGCTGTAGGGAGAAATATTTTACAACGCAGAAAAATTAGAAATGAGAATCCTAAATGGAGAATAACATAATTTAAAAAAAAAAAAAAAAAAAAAAAAAAAAAAATGGAGAATAAATATTGTGATCCAATACAGGAACTTCTTGAGCTAAGGAAAAACAATGACTGTTCAGGTGTAAAAGNATATATATGGCTCATGAATTAAAAAGAAAAAAATAGATGACTAGAGTTTTTTTGGAAGAGCAAAAGGATAGGGAGCTGTAGGGAGAAATATTTTAAAAAAAAAAAAAAAAAAAAAAAAAAAAACAAAAAGAAAAAAAAAAAAATTTAAAAAAAAAAAAAAAAAAAAAAAGGAACAGATGGAGAATAAATATTGTGATCCAATACAGGAACTTCTTGAGCTAAGGAAAAACAATGACTGTTCAGGTGTAAAAGGCTTACTGACTTACAGGCAGGATTTTTTTTTTTGTCTGTTTATTTATTTTTGAGAGAGAGAGACACAAGAGTTAGAGGATCTGTGGTGGGTTCTGTGCAGACAGCAGAAAGCCTAATGCAGGGCTCAAACTCAGGAATCCTGAGATTATGAACTGAGCCCAAGGCAGATGCTCAACCAACTGAGACACCCAGGCCTCCCAGGATTAAAAAAAAAAAAAAAAAAAAAAGGAAACTTCTGGATGCTCTATTCTTTAGTAGTTGTACTTTTTAAAATTTAGTTCCCAAGTTGGATCCAATTTTACTTTAAAATAACAATGGCTTTAAACTCTAGGCAGCTACAGAAAACAGATCATGTTAAAAATATATAGTGAATTTTTCTCAGATAATGAACACCATCATAAGTACATAAAATTCTAATTTGTTCCATCCGGCCACATGAACTACAAAAATCATTTCTAAGGGAGTTGATGGAGATTGTTTTGTGAAGCTGTATCAGATTCCTAACATCAAAACATTCAACCCACTCAAAATGTTGTAGGGGAAAAGTGGAATTTCTTTCAATTTATATAATATTTGCTTTCTTCCAATTGAGAGTCACTATATTTGAGAAGTGTTTGACACTTCTATGTACAGAGCTGAAAAACAACCAAAAAGATGCCTGGAAGGAAGGGTCCTAGAAGGCCTGCAAAACTCAAAATTGTTTCCAACAGTTAAATACCTTTTAGTTGTTCCACCACGTTATTTAGGTATTTTATGAGCTCAGGATCAGTTGTTACAAGCAAGGTGAGTCCATATTTCTGCACTCTAGTAAAGGTTTCAGATGGATAGATGCCGCGCTGATATAAAATGCTGTTGATACCAAATGCTGAAGACAGAAGGAATGTTAAAGAAAAGTTATTATCACTTTGTAACTCTGGAAAATAAAACATTTAGCTGTGGCTAGGGTTTCCTTAAGGGTATAAAACCGTAAATATCTAAACACATATTTGTGGGTGTGTTGCTCAAAGAGTAGGTAAAAAGTGGCATTAAAAATCCTTAAAATCTTGCTTCTAAGTAAAAGAACGCGATACCTGCATTTATGTGGCAATAAAAGAAAAACGCCAAACTGTATTCATCTACTACTGTCAAATTTCAGCTCACTCTAATACAAGTCCAAATTCGGGTTAGAGGATGTCAAGATGGGCTTTTGCCTCTGAGTTAGCAACTGATAACTGGTCCAATGCTCCAGGCAACCTTCACTTTTTCCTCCTTTTCTCCTCACAAATCCTGCCAGACTCTCTTTGAAGGTACAAGTGGTCCAGAACAGCGAGCTTCCTAATGTCTAGTCCATCACCCAAACACCAGAATCAAACCCTGAAGGAGTTCTTAAAAACATACATGGTCCCCACCCCGGTCGTATTGTGTCTTAAGCCGCTGAAGAATGGGTGGAGTGGAGGGGACAGGTGGGGAAGTGGGTATGATCTGCAGTTTAAAACGATTCGGCAGGTGATGGGGCTCCGACGCGAGACAGGCCTCAGCTCAACAGCACCTAGGCCTCCAGCTCCATTAGCAACGCGTCCGGAAGCGGCGCCTGCATCCGCCTCTTCCTAGATTCTCCAGCCGAGCAGGAGGCTGGGGCAGAAAGGGCTTGAATTCAGAGCCTCTCCGCACCCCAGGCCCCGCGCTTACTCCGCCTCCGCGGCCAAGCCGCAGGCCTACCGGGCGGCCTGGCCTCAGCTCTCCCGCCCTCCGGCCTGCGCGAGGAAGACTTACAGAAGAACTCAGCCACGATTTCGGCGCTCCCGCGCAGAGTGATGCCTTGCTCCCGGGAGAGCTGCAGCGCCATTGCCAGGCCTACAGACGAAGGAGCGCGCTTCCACCGGCAGACAGCGACAGCAAAGACGTGCACGGCACTTCCCCGCCACTCGTTTCAAAAGTAACGACGCAGCATGCCGTCCGGCCCTTTGCGCACGCGCTATGAACCTCTAGGTCCCGCCCCACGGGGCGGGGTTTGGCCTGTCCTTTCGGCGCTCGCCTGAGCTGTTTCCTCGCGCAGGCGCAGTGGGTAGGCGTGGTCACGCATATCCGGGTAGTTAAGCTCTGGAGCGTCCCGTTCTGCCTACTCCAGTGATGGTAAACTGGACGGCACGGAGGGAAGAGGGGAAAACCTGCTTTTAGTTGCAGCTTCTTAGGCCTGCGGAGTGAGTGATCGAGGAACACAGTTTCTGAGTTTCTTAGATACTTTCAAAGCGATATGGACTGTTAGCCAGCTCCACTTTAAAGTGTCTCCAGTGATCCCTAGTGGGCGCTTGAAACTTTCTATACGCTTTGGGAGTCGGTAAAGAAAATGGGTGCGCGGTAGCCACGCCACAGCTTTGCAGGGCCCAATTACTGTATGAGAGCACAGTTTCTCCCGAGAAATTGGGTTAGGGTTAAAGGGATGAGCCGCAAGACTTTCTGTGCTGTGCCTGCGTCATTCCTGGGCTCAACCTGCTTCCCCCCGGCCTCACTGTGAGGTAGTCAGGAGCCGCTGGGAACCGCATCTGGCAGTCTAGCCCGTTCTCGATCCACCATGCGCACTTTGCACCAACAGGTGATGGTCAGGAGTAAGTTCATGTCACGAAAGAGGCCCATCTAGGCCGAGGAAATTTCAGGGGAATTTTGACTCACAAATTCAATGACTTTACTTAGGATGAGAAGTACTTAAGAGCGTGCACAATTAATGTTCATATCAATTTTGCGAAAAAATTTTTGCAAAAATTTCACCTGCCTTGAAGCAGCCAGCAAAACTATTTGTAAAATGAAGTCTCAAGAGCTATGTACCAGACATACTTTGCTATTTAATTATATGAAAAGTGCCTGAGTGTGTTATTTTTCTATTGTTCTGTAACACATTATCACAAATTAATGGTTTAAACTCAGTCGTGTAGGTCAGGAGTTGGTATGGTATAGCTGAGGGCTCGGCTTAGGAGTCTCCCATTGCTGAAGTAAAGGAGTAGGCAAGTGGAATCTAATCGAAGATCTGGGTTTAACTTCCAAGCGCCTGGCTGTTAGCAGAATTAATGTCCTTGTATTTCTTAAACTGAGGTTCTCTTTGTTTCGCTAGTTGTTGGCCAGAGGCCAGTCTTGTGCCTTTGCCAAATTGCTCTTCCATAGGCTTTCTCATACTTCCAGTCTCTCTGACCTCATGGAGTTCCCTTTTAAGGATTCATCCTATTAGGTTAGACCTATTCAGATAATTTCCCCTTTGATGTCGCTAATTCGGGAAGCCATATCCTATTCTATTCACAGGTTCTGGCCACACTCGAGGAGAGGGGATTACATAGGATGTGCTCCTTAGAGGCTATGGATTTTTCCGACCATCTTAGAATTCCACTTATGACTTAGATCAGGTTTTGATCAGTTTGAAGAATAAAACATAGGTTATAGGGTGAGTTAATCCTAAAATATTTTCCTTACATCCTTTTTGTATCTGTGTGTACATGTGTTTAAAATCACCAACTTTTCACTATTCCACCAGGATCTTAGAGTCAGAATTCTGGCATAAGACTGGTGGAGCCTGATGCCCACCTTACTACAAATAAAAATTGTTTTCTTTCTAAGGAGCTTTATATTAGTACTCACCACTGCAGGTAAGACTTCCTTCAGTTTCATAGTAATATAGTTTTCAAATTATCTGAAGATGGAAATAATTGTTGGCATACTTTTGGAGATTCCAGAATTTAAAAGGCTAGAAAAATATACGTTTTCCATGTATAGAAGAAGTATTTATTAAATACGTTTTTTTGTGCTCTATAAGGAGAGGTAAGACATAATTAACCTTTGAAGGCAAAGTCTGTGGGACACTAGTTGGCTTAGTTCGTTGAGCATTGTACTTTGGCTTAAGTCATGATCTCATGTCTCATGGGTTCAGGCCCCATGAAGGGCTCTGCGCTGACAATCTGGAACGTGTTTTGGATTCCCTGCCTCTAAACAGGAGACTGTTGCTCTTTCTCCCCTCCATGGCTCATGCACTCTCTCTCTCTCTCCAAAAAAAAAAAAAAAAAAAAAGTCCTGGTCTGTACTTTTTGAGGACTTTGTAATCTAATTTTGTTTAAATATGCATACTTGAAAAAATAAAGGGGGCACCCCTGTGGCAATTGATCTGACTCTTGATTTTAGCTCAGGTCATGATCTCAGTCATCAGATTCTTGCCCTTAATTTCTATTTCTCCCCTCCACCTCTCTCTCCCCCGTCTAGGAAGGAAGGAAGGAAGGAAGGAAGGAAAAAGAAAAGAGATAAATAGAAGTCTCATAAATTTGGCTTTATCAGGCTTCTGCCTAACTTAGCAGCCCCCTTTCAGATTACTTTCCCAATCTGCCTCTTCCTTTAGTCACTTTTCCACTTTAGGGCTTTTCATAATATGCTTTTCTCTGCCTAAAATTTCTATCTATTCAAATTTCTAATTATATTCTTTTTTTATTTAAATGTAACTGTATTCTAAAAATTTTCTTTGACCTCTCTGTCTATAAGGTCCTGCTCTTATGCATTTTCAGAGCATCTCATAGCACTATTTCAGAGCATTACCTTCAGAGTTACAATGGAAACAATGGAATTGTAATAATTATGTAATGATTTGTGTTATATCTTCCTTATTACCATGGAGGATCCATGATGACATTTTATCAATATTTGTTGAATGAATGATCATTTTAATATTTTCCTAGGAAGTTTCATGGAAGAACCCAAGACATTTTCAAATTGGAGAACTGATTGAATAGATGAGGTGAGGCCACATTTTGGGATCTTCGAATATCTCACATGAGTTGATTAAATTGGACATACCAGGGATTTCTAATTTCTTAGAATTGACATAATTAAAGGGGTATTTTCTCAAGTGTAAGTTGAGTAGTGGTTGTAGAATGGATTATGTACAGGACAGTCTGGAGTGGTGGCCCTCAAACTTGAGAGTGTGAAAGAATCACCTGGGTATTTTGCTGTATGTACATCCCTGACTTTTACTCCCCCTTCTCCAAATCTAATGCAGCCCAGTATCATGGCCACTAGCCACACCTGGCTCTTAGGCACTTGAAATGTGCTTGTCCAAATTGAGATATGCTATAAGTATAAAAATACCTGATTTCAAAGACTTAGTATAAAAGAAAAAGAATATAAAGTATTATGTTTTTCATTTGATTACGTATTGAAATGATATTTTTACATGCATTGCATTAATTTCGCTTGTTTCATTTTAGCTTTTTAATCTGACTACAAGAACATTTAAAATTACATGTGTGATTCATTTTAGATTTCTGTTGGACAGTGCTAGTCTACTCGATGGGCTCTAGGAGATGACATGTTTTAACAGCATCCCAAATGATCCTTATGTTTCTTTTTGAAAAACAGTAGACCACAATGGATATTTTAGTAATACAGGCCTAGGAGGTTGAGACCCTAGACTCGATGGATGCCTAAGAGTTTGAATAAGAAAGTATATATCAGAGCAAGGTAGTTTGAGTCAAGAATAGGGAGTACAGATAAATCCAAGTGGGAAGATGCAATACAGTATAGTGTTGGTCAATCCATGGAGATATTAGGAAGAGCTGCCCAAACTCTGAGCCTATTCGTCTTCTTTTTTTTTTAATGTTTTTTTTTTTTTTTTTTTTTATTTCTAGGGGAGAGAGAGAGACAGCGTGAGCAGGGGAGGGTCAGAGAGAGAGGGAGTCACAGACTCTGAAACACGCTCCAGGCTCTGAGCTGGCAGTCAGCACAGAGCCCGATGCGGGGCTCGAACCCACGAACCGCGAGATCATGACCCAAGCAAAAGTCGGACGCTTAACCGACTAAGCCACCCAGGCGCCCCTTCTTCTTTTTTTTAATAGTTTATTGTCAAATTGGTTTCCGTATAACACCCAGTGCTCATCCCCACAAGTGCCCTCCTCCATGCCCATCACCCCCC